ACTTGAATGCAAGTTATTGATGCAGGGGAACTGCTGAGGAACTGCCTCCTCAGCCAGTTCATGGATGACACAGAGCTGGGAGGAGCGGCCTAGACCACAGTGGGCCGTGCAGCCCTTCGGAAGGGCCTTGATGGAGTGGAGGGATGGGCAGAGAGGAGCGGTCTGAAAATCAGAAAAGGCAAATGCACTTTGATTCTGATTCTGATTCGGGTTCTGCACTTGGGGAAGAACAGCACTGAGCACCACAACTGGTTGGGGGCTGATCTCCTGGGAAGGAGCTCTGCAGACAAGGACCTAGGGGTCCTGGCAGACAAAAAGCTGTCCATGAGCCTGTAGTATGTCCTTGTGGCCAAGAAGGCCAGTGGTGTCCTGGAGTTCATTAGGATGAGCATTGCCAGCCGGATGAGGAAGGTGACCCTGCCCCTTTACTCAGGCCTTGTTAGGCCACCTATGGAGTACTGTGTCCAGGCCTCCTCAGTGCAGGGAGCTATGAGAGACCTTGGAGGGGGTCCAGTGGAGAGGGATGATTAAGGGACTGGAACATCTCGCTTACAAGGCAAGGCTGGGAGAATTGGGCCTGTTCAGTCTCAAAGAGACAACTGAGAAGGGACCTCCTCAATGTCTGTAAGTATCTGAAGGGAGGGTGATAAGAGGATGGAGACAGGCTCTGTCAGTGGTGCCAAGCAAAAGGACAAGAAGCAATGGGCACAAACTGATACACAGGAAGCTCCACATGAATATGAGGAAGAACTGTTTCACTGTGTGGGTGATCGTGCCTTGAAAGAGATTGTCCATAGAGTCTGTGGAGAATCGCTCACTGGGAAAACATTAAAATCTACTAAGCAAAAGATTTTAGCAAGGTATTATTTATTTTTTATTTATGCTTCTAAAAAATATTTTTCTCTGCCAAGAATACATAGAGGAAAATAGGCCCTTCTGCAAAGAAGTTTTGCCTAATTCCACAAATAACTTTTCAGACAAAATGGTGTTCTCTATGAATTATATATTAATCTTTATATATTAATTATTATAATTAATTTTATATAATATAATTATATAATGTATAATAACGGAGCCCTAACCAGGCAATAAAGTCTGTTGAAACAGTACAGGATCTTAAAATGGCTTTTCTGAAATCCTAACATGTAGGAAAATTGGTGAATATATTCACTAATTTTTGAACTCATAATTATACAATATACATACAATATTTATAATAGAAGATAGATATATATGTATAACAACAGATTGCACTAAAAATGTTCTTTAAAAAGTTTTGCCTCTCAATAAACTGACTTATGATAAAAAGACAAGTACTACTAACATGCCAAAATTAGACCACAGATCCTGTGCTGCATGAGTTAAGAATTACCTTGTTGTGAAAAGTAAAATTATTGTTGCAAAGAAGCAACATTTTAATTTGGATTATATTATTATAACCTTTGTTTTCTAACTCTAGATTGTCTTTTGTGAGTCACCTACTATGGTTAGCATACAGCTTCTGAGAAATTCTGACCTATATAATATATTTCCTTGCACTACTATTTGCTCCATGTTGCATATTTGGGAGTGATATCAATATTTTCTTGGAAAGAAAAATACAGATTAAAAATGTTTTCCATTTATTTTTAATGAAAATTATCTTTAATGATTATGTAATGATTATGTAATGATAATGTAATGTATGAAGAAAAAAATCAAATACTTTCAATAGATACCTGACTAGTCCATGAAGATTTTGTTTATTCCAGTTTCTATCCCCACAATGAAAGAACTCCTAAAGAACTAAATTACTTGAAGCACATACAATTTTTTGGACAAAAATATTTTCATTGGTAATGTTTCTGTACTCCAATGAGATTTTTTGCAAGTCCATTAGGTTGCTTATTTAATCACTATTCCTTCATTAGAAATGACTCCTTTCCTTATGTTATTCTCAGTTTCAGGAAGAATGTTTTTATGAATAATATAGATTTTTTATCAAAAAAGGAGGTTCTTTTTTCTTAATTCTAAGGTTGGTTAAGTGATTAAGTGAATTTTGTGCTGATGGTAAGTAGCTAAATGAACCAGAATTTTTTAACCACAGCTACAATATTGTCTGATGTGTTCACTTTTTTTTCCAGGGCTCCTCATCCATCTTGAGCCACAAGACTCAAAACTCTTATTGACTTATGGTGCATTTCACTTTGAATAGATATCTGATCTTTGACCTTTTTGTTGTGATTGCAAGATGTGAATTATTGTCATAACGTGCAATTTTTTTTTTTTTTTAATATAATTCTTTATCCTCATCATTTGAACTTATTCTATCATCACATTTCAGGTAGCCAAATAACCATCAAACTAAAAAAATGTTCAAACTGAACAAATCTAAATTGGCTTCAATAATATGACCTAGAGGTTAAAGCTTGCATATTCTTATTCTAGTTTGCCATGCTATTGAACTGATACTCAGTGTTAAGAATTTTAATACTCATATATTCTTATTAATATGAATTCCATCATAAAAGGCTTAAAAAATAATAATTGCCTCCTCTAAGTCTATGATCAAAAAAAAGTAATAGACCACATTTTATATGCCTGTATCTAGAGTTTTCATCTTTTTCATCAATCACAACAAATTAGTTCTAAATAATGAAGACGTATTGTCTCCTCTTGCATGTATCTTAATTATCATAAAAGTGCCGCAGACATATCTCTGTTCATCCAAGTTTAAATATGGAATCTGAGACACAATGAAGTCTGAGGGACATGCTTTATACTTCTGCACTACAAAAGTTTCACCCTTAAGGAGAATTTTATATTGACATTTTCAGGGCTGAAACTGTGCTCATCAAGCAGAGGAAAACAAAGCACTGAATTTCTGTTTAAAAGAAATCAATAATAAAAGAAGAAACCTCTATTCAATTTTCATCAGATTTTTCTATGGTTATGAAGTTTTGCTAAAGTGCTTTCTGTGAGAGATAATTTGCACAATTTGGATTTATTTTTTTCCGTAATAACTGAAATGAAAATGAATGGAAGTTAAAATATTGTATATTAACATATACCTATGCCAAAAATATAGAATTCTTAAAATAACACAAATGTGAAACCACTGAAACTTTGCTGTAAATTTGGCAGGGTGTTTTCTTCCATTTTTAATTTCCCATTGTTTTTCCATTGCTATTAATTTCTTCAAGGAAATGTCTTACATTTGATAAAGTGACAAGATTACAGCCTAGGAAATTATATTTATTTCAGATTAACAATCTTGAAGAAGTGGGAATCTAGCCACAGGCAATCAAGAATTATTTAACTGTGAAATATAAATATTAATAAATAGTTCACATTTATTTAAAAAAAAACAAACACACAGAGACTGCAGAAATAAATTAATTTGTATTTTTAAAATATTACTTTAAGAATGCAAACTTGTTCTGAGAATGTATTTATTAATTTGGGTAAAATGCATTACTGCATCTGAACTACTTATATTTTTATAGTGGGAATCACCAACACAAGGGGATAATTTTATTACTTCCAATAAAAATAATTTATGTTTTAGCTAAGAAAATGAGATAAGAGGATCAAATGACATGATTTAGATCACATTTTAACCTGTTGCACATTTTTAAAGACAAGGAAAAAAAAAATCCTTGAAAAGGAAACTTTGTATTAAAATGGAATTTCATTGTTGGTATTCACTTCAAAAAATAGACGCTGCTTGTATGACTTCAATTCTTTTAGATGACAGTGTAGTTAGTGACATTATACTTCAATGATAACACAAAGAAAAAGTCACTCAGAGGACTAATTAGAACAAATATGTGCCTGGTTTAAAAGTAACAGACTATGGGTTGGGCCAATTTCATATATTAAAATCAATAATAATTATTCTTGTTTACTTTGTAAATTCTCTATATCAACAACAATACAGCAGATAATTAGAGTCTGTGCTGCATCAATGGTCCTGTCTCTGCAATTGATAAACAAAATGTAATGACCATTTCTATGTCTGTAAAATATGAAATAAGATACAACTTTATTCTTCTCAGGATTTAGAGTTTTGAAAATTTTTCTTGCACTCATTAAATTCTGGAACACGAATCTTTTTCATATAACAATTATATATAACGACAGTTGTAAAACTATTCTTGTACATTGTATCTAGCTTAGCAAAACCCACATGGTGTTTCACTGAAAGATGAAGATTTTTTTTACCCCAGCACTTGAGTTCCAACTGTAGCACAAACTTTGACTGAACAAAAAATCATGGTATATTAAGGCTGAGAGATATGAGATACAATTACCTGAAATATGATTAATAGTCTTTGGGCCCATCATTATTCAGAACTATTTTAACACCTAGAAATAATAACCATTGTTTCTCTTGTCTCTGCTCAGTATTTAAGTACAAAAATTAAAAGTAATCCTATTTCAGATAGAAATTTCCAGTTAGAGAGTATTATATGAGAGTTACTAGAGTGTTGCTAAGATCAACAGAAGCTATGATGTAATTACTGACCTTTTAAATCTACAAGCCTTCTTTGTAGTCAGAAAAAGGAAAAACCTTTAGGGTTTCATCATACTCTTATGGGTGTGGATACAGAATATTCTGGAAGAAGTCTGACAAGTAGTTGATAAATAGATTTCTGAAATTTGTAAAGCTTACAATACCTAACATTTCTGAGTGACTTGTGCTCTACTAAACTAATTACAATAATCATTCAGATTTCCAGATGTGTAGGAACCTAGGATTTCTGGAAAATAGGAACTGAGCATGTAGGAATCAACTCCCCTGTTCTTATGACATAAGGTTGATCTGTAAATACAGAAATAATCTGACACCTCTATGATTCAGACTTCCTACATATGAAATCAATCACAGATTTACAGTTTAGGAAATTTGCCAAGAGAGACTGGAGGCAAGTTTGTCAGACACTGAAGGACCTTGTTATAGAAGTTAAATCTGAAATGACAATTCAGCTGATCAAAGTAATAGATCTACACCAACTTACCACCTCACCAGAATGTCCTCATAGCACAGTTAATGACTGGAGGATTAAAAGTGTAAGACTCTTCAAGATTTCCCTGAAAGAGAAAATCAAACATCATTTATTTGCTTTTCTACAGCAACACAAATAAATTCTGCTAATAAATTCTTTTTCAAGAAATAGAAAAATTAAATACACTGATGATAAATAACTTCTGCAAACAGTAATCATTGAAAAGCAGCAAAACAAAGTGGAATTTCTAGAGTAACTGTGATGTGAAAGAATATAAGTCATAATCATAAACAATATTTTATATTGAAATTATCTGTATTTGACTGAAGTGGTTATGAAACAATTTTGTTCCAAACACATTGTTTTATTCATAAACACTTTCTTGTGCTAGAACTAACCTGGTTTCAATGTATTTTTTTTTTGTGCAAAAATACTGTTTTATAACTGATCTTATGCTATTAGCTTTTTAAATACATCAAACCAAAACCTGCAGTACTTGCACCAACAGTATGTCATTTGGTAAATTACATTAAGTATAAGAAAACAGAACTGTAGGCTTTTCATTTTCAATATTAAAGTTATCTCTTCACGTATCTGAAACCTGCACCCTATGGATTTCCATCTAATGTATGCATTTAGCTCTTTCTCACTAGCAGTCAAGCTTAAGATGTGAGCCTGTGAAAACCTTGTGATGTTCAACAAGGCCAGATGCAAGCTCTGGCATCCCAATTACAGGCTAAGTAGAGAATGCATTGAAAGGAGAACGATTAAGGGGCATTGGTTGATCAGAGGGAAAACACAACCCAGTAATGTGCACATGCAGCTCAGAAAGCCAACTTCAGCCTGGGCAGCATCAAAAATGGTGTTCCCAGCAACTCAGGGGAGGTGACTGTTCCCCTCTACTCTGCTCTTGTGAGACCTGACCTGGAGTGCTGTATCTGAGTCTGGGGCACCCAGCAAAAGAAAGACATCAACCTGTTGGAACAAGTCCTGAAGAGAGACACTAAGTTGACCACAGGGCTGAAGCATCTCTTCATGAAGATGGGCTGAGAGAATTGGGGCTGCTCAGTCCAGACAAAAAAAGGCTTTGGGGAGAATTTGCAGCTCCTTCCAGTATCTGAAGAAGACTTTCAAGATGGTTGGAGACAGACTTTTAACAAGGGCAAGTAGTAATAGGCCAAGGGGTAATGCCCTTAAGTTGAAGGAGTGTACGTTTAAGTTAGATATTAGGAAGGAATATGCTGTCCAAAGAGGCTGTGGACTCCCCATCTGTGAAAGAGTGCAAGGCCAGGCTGGATGGGGCTCTGTACAACTGGTCTAGTGGAAGGAGCCCCAGGCAGGGGAGTTAGATCTAGAAGATCTTTAAGGTCCCTTCCAATCCTAACCATTCAATGAGTCTATGATTCTGTGATCTTTGGGGCAAGACTGGGAGAGGTAGAACTGTTCAGTCTGTAGAGAAGAAGGCTCAAGGGAAAACTCATCAACATCTGATCAAACTGATCAAACATCATCATATAAACAACTGAAGGGAAGATGCAAAGATGGAGTCAGGCTCTTTCATTTGATGTCAAATGACAGGACAAAAATCAGTGGAAAAAAGAAACACAGAAAGAGCTCTATGACTATCACAAAACAGCTTTTTTAACTGAATAGAGTTAAAATATAATATAGTATTAATACAGTTTTACTGAAGCAGTTGTCTAGAATTGACTGTGAAATATTAATCTTGGAAATATTGAAAAGCCATCTGGACATGGTCTTTCTTGGTTAATCTGCTTTCAGTAGCTCTGCTTGAGCACAGAGGTTGGCCCAGATCCAATATTGACCACTCTGTGATACTGCAATATTTTATACACAGCACTCATGAGTTTGTATTTTATCCACTCACCCAGCAGTCTGGGATTGATAACCACCTTCCACTTTTTTATGTGTCAGTCATAACATTCAGAAGTCACAATATTGCTAAATGATTTAGGAAAGAATAAAAGTAAATAGCAATAAATGACCACCAATGATCAAGGATATTTCACCCTAAAAACTCTCTTCCCTGAAACTATTCTATTTTTGTCATAATACAGTAACAGTTTCAGTGGTGGGTTTTTTTGCTTGTGTTTTTTTGGGAAGGGTTTTTTTTGAGGGGGGGTTTCATTTGTTTGTTTTTTTTTATTCACTGCATATGAAACATGAAGGCAGTTGTTGAAAATAGACAGGTAGAGAACTTTTGTTACATGCAAATGTTTGGTAGTATAAAATACAAGGGGAACATAAGTTTCAAGCATTTATTTAATATGATCTTGCAGGGCCTTCAAATGTGATGAAACATGGTTGTATATGACAATGGACTGAGTTAATAATTTTTATGTCAGAAGCATTTCACTATTGGCTTTATTTTCCACAGTCAGACTAGAAGCAGAGTGAATAGAAACACACAAATAATAATGGTGTCAGTGCTGAAGGCTTAATGACATGGATTAAATTAATACCTTGAATACATATTTTGATACACATACACCAGTTAGTATTTCCTTTATATCTATAAAAGCTTTTTTTTTTCACTTAAGTTGCTTAACTAACCATCTCATCATGGGAATTCTGATTAAGCAATATGAACTCATAAAATATGTCCTGAAAACTGGTGCACTATGCATTGTTCCTTTTTCATAAAAACATATGCAAATATAAGATTCTTCTGTTCTTTGATCAGTTCCCTTTGTTACTCTATACTATGTATTTTTGTTGCCTGTACTGAATTTGTTTGGTCAAATTACATGGGCTTTCATCACTTGAAAATTTTGAACCCATTCTTTTGTTGCAAGACTCTTTTCAGCTTCAGCACTTTCCCTTTTTGTTAATAGTACTACTGTTCACCAATTTTTTCTTAAAAAAAACCAGCAATTCCAACCACAAAAAGTGAAAATATTGCCTAAAAGATATTCTTAATATTCTAATTCGTTAAGCCCAGTTTATATAGATTAATTCATGGTTATTTTCTTGAAGATTCTGCGTACATCTAAAAGGAAGAGGAAGAACTATTTCAGAGTTGTAATAGAGGGACAGAATTTGAGTAAGACTAACTCTTTCCTATATTTGGGGGCATGCATACCTTTCACCTCCCTCTTTCCCTGTACTGTTTCTCTCTACCTACCATTCCATGGCTCTTCTCCATTCATCCGACCACTTTGGCTTTCATCTCAGTATCAAACTATCAGTGTATCAGTATATCAGCACAGATTTGTGCTTAAATCATATATGAATAAGCCTCAAAAACTGACAAAATCAACAGCATATCTGAATATCATAGGGTAGCTCTGGAAACGAATCTATTTGGTTTCCTAAAGTTGCCAAAGCAGAAAAATCTCTATCACTGGGTACTGTTTATTTAAAACAGAGAAAAAAAAATAAAAATAAGAGGATAGTGGGTTACATTGTTAAAAATATCAAGGAAATAATAGTGCTATGCAGCCCCACAGGATCAATAGGCTTGTCCCTTCTTCAAAATAAAATAACTTTTAATGTTTTTACAAAAATACCCCTTCCCGTAACAAATCTCTTGTGTCTCCAGAATCTTTATTGCCTGTATTTAAATATAGAATATAAGAAAGCAGATGTCACAGTTCCCAAACTTTATTTCTAAATCTGTGTCACACTATGCTAAAAGCTCTTGAGAGAAAAGACATATTCTGTGCTGAGTGGCTGCCAGTGGACCTTGGAGGCAGATGTTGCTGTTAGACTGTGTGACCATAGCCTGTGTCAGGTTTGTCACTGGTAAACTGAGTTGGCTGTCTTCTACCATGTCACTAACATGCCATATAAATAAATTAATTGAATAATACTGTGAAACCATGTGAGTCTATGGGAATAAAGGCAACTCATTTCAATTTGACCTCATTAAGGCTAATTCTCTTGAGGTTGTCCTTTAGTCTTCATAATCACTCTTGTATTGAAATAATGAAAATGGACAGTCATTGAATTCCATACCTTACGTAGGCAAAACTAGCTGCTAATATCGAACAGATAGAATATCTTCCTGTAATGTTTTTCTGCCCTGTACACTGTTATTCCCTTGACAGAATCCATGTCAGCTCAGCACTGCTACTTAGGAAAAAAAGAGTCTCATTTTCTGCAAGTTTACCTTTTTCATGGCAGTCTGATAGATGTTGCACCTGGACAGGGAAAGGGGCAGAAGCATATGATTTGGTTCGAGGCATTTGAAAGTCACAGCCATGTGCAGACAAAACTCTTTAACAACAGAAAAGCCTCTTAGGACAAATGACGCTGTAGTCAAGTCCATTTTTTTTTTTTTTTTAAGAGAAACACTCTGGTTCTATATGTGGATATGGCACAGAATAGAAAATGAGGTCCTATATGGACTCATGAACAAGCCACTTCTCTGCTCTGGAAAGGAAAGAAACACCTGCATCCAAATCCAAACAAATCAAGAGAAGAGAGGAGAAAACTAACTCAATGCAAACAACTGTCATGCTAGGATAGCCTAGCTCTGAGTAACACCATTTAGATGCTGGAAACTTGCACCACCATAACATTGTCCACAACATTAGATAACTTCAAATTTAGATTATAAAAAGTGTCTAGAATTTTTTTAAAGATGGAAGCACTGAAAAAATAGAATATCGGGTTCATTATATGCAGGAAAGGTGAGCTAGAAGTTGAATCCTCTACAGGCTGGAGGTACTTAGTCTGATTTAGAATTATTGTCAGAGACTAGACTCCATGCTTCTATCATTTTACTAAAAATGCTTAAAGGGATGAAAGTTTGCATAAAACATTGGTATATGCCTTAAATTCTCCTTTCATAAAATTTATTTTCTGCCATAGAATTTAAAGTGATTTATATTTAGGATTTTTTTTTTTGACAAAAAGATTATATTGTGAAAAATTGTTTTCTTATTAAGAGCAATTTTCTCCTTGCTGAAACAATAACTGCCATCAACAACATCTGACAGTCATTGTCAGGATGTGTGAGCACACCCTGTTTACTGTCATCCTTACAAATTTGAAGTGTGAAAAATATGTATTTCTCCAATAAAGTTTAGAGTATAATATTTCTTACCTAACCAATTGCTTTTTTCAAGAAAGAACATCAAGATATTTGTCTTTGGCTTTGAACAGAAAATTGAAAGAGGAGGAAAAATATTCACCACTTGAATTAAAACATGGAAGTGTGAAGAATGATATCAAAATCAGGATTTTCAATATTCAGAAAATCTGATACCTAATTTAGTTCAATTAGTTTCCTGAGAAAACAAAACTACAAAGTCTCTCTAAAAGACTAGATGAACCAGGAGAAATAAATATTGGTCTAAAAAAGCCAGAGTATTTCCCACTTCTAGAGGTAGTGATGAATGGTTATGGACATGAAGGATAATGAAAAGAGTTGATTATTAATTTTGTATCTGATGTGTTTTATGAGAATAGAAGATATTTTTCCCTTAGATATTTTCTGAATATTTTCCTGATCCCTCATTCCTTATTAATCCTGGCCACTCAATGTCATCTCTGTATTTAGTCCAGAAAGACAATGGCAGATGTTGGAGCTAAGAGAGGCCTATTAAGACCTCTCACTTGCCTAATCTTATTCTCACAAACAGACTGAAACACAGTCTCCCTCTTAACGATACAGCACTAGCAGGCAGTCTTCCAGGAAGGATTTTACAGCCAAGTAAATCAGTGTTCCTTCTCCTGTAAAGTCATTCTCAGTAGTATTGCTATTAAGAGGTAGCATGATGGAGAATAATATCAAGAAACATGGCATTGCCCCAGTGGGAATGTAGTAGGAAGCAAAATAGAGGGGTTTCAGGCTGCTATTTGGAAGAGATTTAAGCTCTAGAAAACAGGACCCTGCAGAGAGATAAAGGGAAAATGCGTTTAACACTTTTTCACCTCTTAGGATAGCATCAGGTTTTTTTTCCCTTGCATTTTACAAAGTTTGACAATTTCCATTCCAGTGCTTCAGCAACCCATGCTGTAAAAAGGGCTCCTAAATCATAAGAAAAAATTAGTAGAGCAGATCTCTAAGAAAATAAATGCTAGTAATAATAATAATAATAATAATAATAATAATAATAATAATAATAATAATAATAATAATAATAATAATAATAATAATAATAATAATAATAGTAATAATAGTAATAAACAGCAACACTAGCATTGCCCTTCACGAGACTGAAGTTCCTGTCAGACTTATCTCAGGCTGAGGTGAAAGCAGCTGCCATGGCCAACCAAGGGTGACAAGGGCTAGGGCAGTCCTTAAGGCCTGGCCAGCGGCAGGGCCCCACTTCTGCCCTCATGTCCAGCCAGGGCCCTTCCCACCGCCAGGTGCCCACGTCTGTCCTGCCCATTCCCTCATAGCACTGCTGCAGAGCAGTGTGACTTCCCTACCACCACTGCAGCTCCTTCCCCTGCTAGGGGAATGCACTCCACAGGCACACTGCCCAGCCTGCTGTCTCCACAGCTCCCAGATTGTCCTCCCAGGCTGTCTCCACCTTCCTAAGCCCCTGTCTGTGTGTGGAGGCCGCCTCCCAAGGCCCAGCCTTAGTGAAAGGTGCCACAGCTGTGCAAGAGGCTGCCCTGCAACCCGCCCAGCTGAGAGCTGTGGGTCAGGACTCACAGAAGTGCTGGAAGCTATTGTCAGACACTATGAGGCCTTGCCTCACGGATGTGCCAGTGCCTTCCGCCGTGATTCCCCAAAAGCCAGCTGCAGTGGTGCCTAGCCAAGAGCCTGAGGCTGTGCCTGTGGCTGCAGCTGAGCTGGTCATCTGGCTTAACTCTCCTCCTGGTCCCTCTCACTGTGAAACTCTGGGCTGACCCATGTCTCTCCACCTCCCTGCTGCCTCCAGGGATTCCTCTTAATTCCGTAACCCGGCCCTGGCTTCTGTGGCTTTTGTCATAGGCCCCTGCTCCTGCCCAGGCTCCAGGTCCCACCACAAAATGAAAAATAAAGAATAAAATAAAATAAAATTGCAGTTCTTCTTGTGTAGATGTGGAACAAACATTTCCTCCTTGAGAAAAATTTCTCTGGATACACCCTTTGAAAAAAATTTGAATTTTCCAATGTATTAAAAGTTTAATCATGGTCTTGCTTCTGCACCAAGAAATTTACCTGAGGTTTTATGTTTTGGGCTTTTTTTTTGTATTTGGAAAATTATTGCATAATGATCTGGGTGCACTGACATCAGCTTGTCTCTTAATTGTTCTATTATCAAAACATTATCAAATAAATTCCCATATTTATTTTTTTACAAAGCCTCAAGATTAATATATTGTCTAGTCAGTAAGCTTTCTAAGGTGAAAACTGTTGACAAACATTTTCTCAGAGTTCTAGGCATAGAAGACATTGAAGCTAAAATGACCATTTAATATGAACTAAATTGTGTCTTGGAGAAACTGTGGTAGTAACAATGCTCTGTATATGAAATACAGCTAAAAGTTATTCTTTTATGAAACCCACCAATATTTTTGGTCTAATTAGGAATTTTATAAATAAGATGAATATACAAATTTCCCTCTGTTACTGCCCTTATTTTTTTATCCACTTAAAAATATTTTGTTTCTGTGGCTATTTTTGTTTTCAATGCCTTTTGTTTAAAAATTATTTTGTCATATTTTTTCCTTTATACAGCTAATAGAAATACTACTCAACAGCATCTGACATTTAAGAAAATGGGATATTATCACACAGAAATTATTCAGGAATGCCTCTAAAATAAAAAGGAAAATCTGTTTCTAATGGGTCAACTTATATGTCACCCAAAATTTACAAAACAAGTATTGGTGAGATGAATTAATAAAAAGATAAAAATTAATGGTGGGTGGAGTGAACCCACAAAAAAAAACCTCTGAAAATTTTTCTCATCTTTCTTCTGGTCATTCACCAAGAATAAGACATATCCTGGAACAGGACTGCAGTAAATTTTTCCCTTTTGTGCAATGATTCTACCTTTTGTTGTTGTTTTTAATTCTGGTTTTTTGGGGGGTTTTCTTCAATCTTCTTCTATTGTCTAAATAAAATGTGACATACTATTGGAAATTTCAAGTGAGTACATATGAGAAAGTTATGTTTTGTAGGAAAAAAATAATATGTCTATTAAATGTTTCACAGTTATACAGAACATTTTTCAAAAATTTAAATATATAAATAGAATTCCCCACTGCAAAAATTCTTGATGAGTGTTTTAAAATTGAGAACCTCCTTTAAGTCCTTTAAGTGATTGTGTGGTCCAGTGTCCAAGTTGTGGTCCAGTCAACTTTCCCAAGACAAGTTGGCAAGAAGGCAAAATAAAGTATTATTTTACCTATTCTTCTCTTTTCACATCATCTCATAACTGTATCCTATCTCTCTAGCCCTTTTTAAATATAAGATTTCTACAGACAATTGATGCAGGTAGTCTTACACCACAAATGATAGCAAATGGGGGTTAAAAGGAAAAGGGCCAGGAATCCTCCAAAGTCATCTGAATCTCTGTGGCAAGAAAAGAACATTTTTCTTCATGGAAATTTAAAAAAACCCCCAAAATTTAAAAAAAGTAAAAAAGCCCTTAACTAAACATAATGCTTAGACTCCAAAGTCAGAAAAGCTGATTCAATGGTTACGAATGTAACACTTTCCCTGGTATATCCATTCAAAATTCAACAAAGCTAAGAAGTTGCCAGTAGGTAACTGAAAGCTCTTAAGTTGTACTTTTATACAAATTCATGATTTCTAATGTAGGTCCTTTCATAGGATTTGGTTCAAAAATGCAGCACCCTTTCTTAGGCTAAACAGAAACAATAACTCTGGAGCAAATTACATGTTTTGTAGTACTAACTGCCACGTTGAAGTATGCATTACAGTTGCATTGTTTTAAGGTAAGCAAAATATTATCACTCATATTTAACAAAAAACAGAATGTGGTGGGATTCTTTTAGACTTCTACATCATTAGCCAGCTTTAGCTTTACTTACAAGTTCTTTGAATATCAAATAAAGACGATAAAATAAGGAAGTTGATGGCAGTGGAAGAATATATAATCCTTGGATTACACATGTATTTTTGATCATGTTTTTAATACATAAGCTAAGTTTAATTGTAATCAGCTACATCTGAATGTCTTAGTCATTAGTCAATCTGAGTGTCTTAGTCATGTATTAAAGGTATAGTTAAAAAAGAAGCTTCACAGAAGATGGATTATTTGCATGATCAAGTCTATGCATAACTGAATAAACTGTAGGATAGTGCCACAGGCAGTTGCTGCCTCTGTAGTTAATGGGTTTTTTTTTTAGCAGAAGAAAAGAGTCACTGTAACACTCTTTTTTAAAGACAGATTTAAAATAAAATCAGTAAATTATTTATAGGGAGCTGCAGCATACACTTGACTTAACTGGACTTTTTTAAAATATCCAATTTGACAGTATCCCTTGAACAGGAAGATTTGATGATCTTCTGTGAACAGAGAAGAATACCTGAGCAAGACTGTTCTTTAGGGAGGCTGTGTATATCCTGTCCAATACCACTTACACTACAAATGTGCCAAGTAAGAAGAACGACTATGAATGACAAGTCTACTGCAAGGAAATCCTTATAAATGCTCAGTAAAAGCCAGAATAGCTTCAGATTCTTGCAGCTGTTTAAGCATGTTTAATTGAAGTTTAGTTTAAGCAGTGCACTCTATCACCTAAATGCAAATTTAACTACAGCTTTGGTCCATCTTCCTTTATCTGAATTGTCAATATGGTAAACTAATTGTAATGTAAGAGATGCCTCTTGGCTTGGCTTGGTTTCAGACAACTTAGTGATACCAGTTGTGCTTGGCCATCTTGAAAATGAAAACTGGAAAAGAATAGTCTGTGTAAGCAATTCAGCCATCAACTGGAAAAAAAATAATTTCTTAACAAAATTAAAACTGGAAAAGAATAGTCTGTGTAAGCAATTTAGCCATCAGCTGGGAAAAAACCGAATTTCTTAACAGAATTTGTCTGATAACACATTTTCAGTCAGAATTGGGGGTAGATGGAGAGTTGCTGCCATCTGCTGGAAGTATTCCTTTCCTGACAAAAAAAATGAAGAGTTTTTTAAATGAGTAAACTAATCAGAGAATAAAACTATTACCATTGATGAAATTTGGGGCTTCAATGGCCACCTGTGTAGCCATTTAAATTATAATTATTTTAATGGCATTAGGAGTGTAAATTTATGAAAACGTGGACCTAAATCTCCTTGCAATTTAATATCTGAATGGACGACTATGTAATTAAGCCATATTCATAAATATGAACTAGAGAGCATAAATCCTTCCAAAATGGATAGAATAGAAGATGCAAACATAGAGGGAAATTAAAGAGGTCTTTGCAGACAGCAATTTGCTTAATTTTATAGTATAAATCTCAGTGTTACAGTTTTATTCATTATGATATGTAAAAATATTGGTCTAAAATCTTGGTGTTATGGATAGATAGCAGGAACCTCACAGTGAATATCCAGGTTTCTCTATGAGTTGGCAGTTTCAGGAAACAAAAAAACAAACAAATAAAAACTGAATCAAAACACACTAGTTTTTTCCACCTGCCAGGAGACTGCTCTTTAGGTCCCATAATACAGAGTAGTTAGCACTGCAAAGAAGTTTGATGCTGAATTTTAGAATAAGCAGTACTAGGTTATCTTACAGGGCACTTGAAATTTTTGAAGAGCTTTTCTAAAAGTCTTAATTCTCAGTTCTCTTTCACCTTTGTATAATCCCAAATTCAGACAACACTAGGTATTTCTTCCCAGGTAAATGCCTGTAAATGTTTATTTTTTTATCTGTCTGATGAAGAATTCAAGACAACCAAGTTAGATGTTGAATAATTTAGACAGATCTGTGATTTGGAACGTGAGTACACACCCTCACAGATTTGCAAGTTGTACCCAAAATACCTATAGGAATAAATATTCCTAAAAAATTAAGAAAATAAAAAATAAATTAAAAAATAAAATCCTGGGTAGTCTATTTGATTTCTTGAGACAGAACTCTATTGGTATTGTAATTTCATTAGCCTATTTTCATATGCTAAGAATCAATGCAGCTGGGAAGAAATTGCATGGAAAGATGGGGAGACCAGCTAGGATGAGGAAATCAAGCCAGGTGAGCCACTTAGAATAATATAAATACACAGTGGAGAAGTATGATGAGGGGAATTATGATTATGTAGTCAGATGATAGATTGATATCACTCTATCACACCTGAAGTATTTGCTGTCCCAAGCAAACTCACACCAAATTATAGCTTAATTTAATAAAAAAATAAATAAATAGATAGATATAATACAAATAAAAGTAAAAAACAAAATAATAAATAAAAATTAATAATAATTAATTTATTTATATCTTGAAGTGTATTGTTAATCATTTATTTTCTCCTAGTCTGTGGTTTACATTTCATATATTTTATATCTCATCGCTGTTACTACGTTACAAATACTAGCCTTTAAATTCAGGTTACTGAATTTCAATCTAAGGATTATTTATGTTTTGAAAGTGCCCAATCCTGTCAGAAGCCATGCATGAATTAGAAAAACAGAAACACTCAGATTTTCTATTCTCCCTGGTCCTAGCCATCTTAATTTAATACTGCTTAATAGAAAAGGCAAACTTGCTGCCTTGCTAAAAGCCACTAGTCTGTGCTGTTGTATAGGAAATCTGTATTAAGTCAATTCCTTACAAACACAATTTTAATTGTTTTTATAAGTATGTTTTGTACTGTTAAATAATACCTATTTAAACAGCTTGGTTGAGTTTTAGCTTTTATTGTCCCCTGTCTTCTATATCATGAAAATATTGAAATAAAAAGTATATCATATTCAAAGCATCACATCTGTTTTAATTCCATTTTTATATTTTACAACAAGTAAAAAACCCATATATATAAGTGTGTGTATATATTAATGAG